CAAATCAAGGAACAGTCAGGTAATATATTTCACTGCTTTATTTCTGCATAATGTATTCCAAACAAGAGCTGGATACAGCTGACCACTGTACATCAATTTATGTAACTGTATAACTGTATTATAAGCCACTTGGCTGATATTATGCAAATAAAACTGTCTGTCTGTCTGTCTGAAGTACAGCAAGGTGGTTTTTAGACAGTTCATTCAGTCAGTTATGTAAAAACATCCTTATGTTCTATTGTTGAAAGCAAATCAATTTCCAAATATTTCCCCAACTTAAGAGCATGGGAAACAGTCATGTTGCATGTTGTGAGGAGCTTAGCTGTTTTCCCACACTATTAAATAAACTAAAGCATCTCATCCGGGAAATACAAAAAGTAGGAATTTGTTATCAATAACAGCAAGAAGACCATGTGATAGGTGAAGTGTTTCTTTGAAATGCATGTCCACGGAGTATCAAAGTACACTTTCCCAGCCCAAGAATAGTCGTAAACCAAGAGGTGAGAGGTAGTTGTTCAGTTTTATGGGGGGTCCCAGGTTCAGTCCCCACCCCCAGGGTACAGGGTCATGACCCCTGGCCTCACTGGTTGCAAGGTGTGAAGGATGAAGAGATAAGTAGGGGACTTGGTGATGGTTCTCTTTGTTTGATTGTTTAGATGATAGGATTATCACAACTCAACGCCATCTGTTTGTGTTGCAGATATTTCAAATGGCATTTTTATTTTTTGTTTAAACACAAAACAAAAGATTTTTGGGATTAGAAGATAAAAAAAAGAAATTATAATTAAAGGGTGACAATGGAAGAAGGATTGCTGTAAAGGAAAGTGTTATGAGGTTATATTGTCAGAGATGATTTTGCCTGTATTAGGTTTATCTCATTGACAAAAGGATTAGATGGATTGATTTTAATCTATTTTCTTTTGACTGACTGACTGCCTGAGTTTAGTCCTTGTTGTACCGCTTTAGCAATAAGTACCCAGCAATATCGTCTTTTGGGGACACCAGAAATGGGCTTAACACATTGTGCCCATGTGTAATGGGAGGTTATATTGTCGAGATGATGTAGCCTTGATGAGTTTATCTCATTAACCACTAGGCTAGATGAATTGATTTTAATCTAATTTCTTTTGAACATTATTAAGTAAAGAATATGCTCTAGTATTATTTGTATTGATGATAAAAGCAACAGAAACATTTTAGTATTCATCAGAAATGTTTGAGTTTATCCAACTGTATCATAAATATGTGTACATGAATCTTAATCAAAGAGTGATGATACCAGATGTTCACAAAATATCTCATTTCTGGTGTCCCCCGTCGTGATATTGCTGGAATATAGCTGAAAGCAGCGTAAAACTAAACTTACTCACTCACTCACTCATAAAATATCTGCCCCACTTGTGGAGTATGTCACTAACACATGCAAAAGCAAGGCAATCAGTTGAACAGCCTTATTTCTTAAAACGGAAGTTATTGTACTGATTCAGTAAGAAAGTTCATGTGAATGTGGGGCAGTGGGGTAGCCCAGTGGTTAAAGCATTCGCTCATCACGCCAAAGACACGGGTTCGATTCCCCACATGGGTACAATGTGTGAAGCCCATTTTGGGTGTCCCCCACCATGATATTGCTGGAATATTGCAAAAAGCAGCATAAAACCCAACTCACTCAACTAAATGTGGGTCTTATCATCACAAACACAGACAAATGTAAGACAATCAGTTCAACAGCCTTATTTTTTTAAATGAAAATAATTGTTCCAGTCCAATATAAGAAAGTTCTACTAAATGTATGTTTTATTCCAAAAATTCAATCATCTTGGGTGACTACATCAAGAATTGTAACATTTGGAGAAAAAAAAGATAGGATCCACTGTATGAACCCTGAAACTGTATCCGAGGGATGAGTTGTTGACGAGTCTTCACATGAAATATACACCACCCAAGTCCAAGATGTCAGTGTCAGCTATCCATTGTACATACGTCAGCATGTCGACTAGTCAGCATGTAGATGTTTATCTACGTCCTTATCGGGATATTTAATGAGGGCTATCCACCTTTGCCATACCTTACTTCAGCCTGATACTGTGTCAGTGTTAAAGAGGTTGTACATAGCATGACAACAGACATCAATCATTGTACATTTCACAGATAGCATTGACATGATATGTGGCCACCAAACAAACAGTACAGAATGCCAGGTTCAAAACAAACTTAAGTTTTACTCAAATTTCAAACTGATTTTGACAATTTGAAACAGAATTTTTAACTCAACTGCATTTTTAACTAAAAAGCCCAAACAACTTAAGTAAATCCACCAAACTCACTCATTTCTTTAACATATTGATTTAAGAAGAAATCGGGCCAGGACTGTTTAGAAACTATTTGAGTGATTTCCATTGGTCAAGTGGTGATAAGTAACTCTGATATGTTATTGCTAAAAACTAACAAAACAGATTCTAGTACCACAATGTGGAAGCCACGGTGGCTGAGCAGGTTAGGTGGCTGACTGTGTGCTGGCGATTAGGTGGTTGACTCTGAGAGTGTGGGTTCGAATCCTAGATGGGATTCAACCCAACAAAAGTACAAGAATCTGTACTTTACTGAGAAAGTGTAATGCCAAATATAACATATTCTATATTGATTATGGAACAATATTTCTGTTCATTTTGACTGTTTGCATGTGTAATCTGGCTTTAAAAATAGGAAACAGTGAAGTTGTTTGTATGACAGGCAGTGTGAAATCGGTGACTAACAGCTGTTCTAGACATCAAGTGAAATAACAGCTACTTGTCATTCTCAGGCGTTACATTATTAATGAAGGAATATGTACATATACAATGAGCTTGACACATTTGACTACAGCTTACTCATATCCATGGGAATAAGGATCTCTGTGATTTATAAAACCATGTCATCATGATTTGAGACAAAATCTGAATCATTCTTACTGCCCATGTTCAACTAGTTTTGTTCTCTATTTCAAAGCAACTTTTATTTGAGTGGCCAGGATTGTGTGGTCACGATCACTGACTTGATATCCCAATTGCGTAGGTCAATGCTCATGCTGTTGACCACTGGATTGTCTGATCCAGACTCGAATATTTACAGAGTAGCACTGTTTGTCTAGTGCCAATAAGATACACACGAAAAGAATTCTTTGTTATTTCGGCATATTGTGGCTTGTAGATTTGTTGATTGGGTTTAATGCCTGTCATAATGTCAACATGCTTTAACATCGAGATCTACTGTGACCTTAGACCATGTTTATGTTCTTCATGGAACATACATGCAATGTATTTCATGTTCATTGCAATAAGTCACACTAAATATACATCAACTTACCACAAACCTGTCAATTAAAATTGACATTGCTATGTACAAACATGTTGCCATCAATTTCATCTTCTACATAGAGTGATATAAATAAGTAGTCAACACATTTGTTCCCAATTACACATATTGTGTTGTTTATTTCAAAATCCTCAGTAATGACTGACACAAGTATACAGACAACATTAATCCAGTCAATTAAGTACACACATGGTATCGTCTATTTCAAAATCCTGTGTAATGAGTGACACTAGTCTACAGACTACACACTCTCTGTCATGCTATTGACGACATGATAGGCATGTTTATTACCACGGGTTTGATAACAGGTGATTTGAGACAATCAGCCTCCCCTCATTATCTTGTCTCCGGTCATTTAGGGTCAGTGGCTGGAATTTGTGTCTCAATCTTTATGTGATGTATGTCAAGAAAGAGCAGTGATGAAGTATTTACGACAAGGATACTGCGTGTTTGCGCCTCCTCCACGTGGGCCGTTCCACGTACACATTGACTTAGGATGCTGATAAATCTCTCTAATAGTGGATGCTAAAAACACATGAGATACTGGTACCGTTCATGTACACTCCTATAAACTGAAATTACTTTATCGCATATGTATGTCAAAATAATAAATTTCATATGAAATAAAATTTTAATGTTTACATTTATATACCCCACTTATATGGTACAGGTATATGCTCACATGCGATCTGTTTGTTCCCCAATATGCATTCCAATTATCATTCTCACCTCCCTGGGGAGAAACAATATACAACACATTCGGCAACTAAGAGACTACGTAAAATGATTAGTATTTAGTGGGTTTTTTATGCTTTCATATAGAATTTGATGTTATTTGTTATCATCCATCTAAAGAACAATATGATTATGGTAACTGAAGAAAAGAATATTGTTTAAGCAGCTCATGAACCCATATTTTTAATTAAAAGACATGAAGATGGTTATAATTATTCAAATGCTATAACCATGCACACAAGCACCAGTTCAAACTCAGAAGCCATCTAATCATTAACCATTCACAAAAAAAAACAATGTTCCCAGTCTGGCTGCCATACTTAATCTGATTGGGTAGATTATCCCTATTATGATAATCCAAGCCAATTAAGTACCTGACAAAGGTGACACCAAGGCTTCTGTGAAAGTCTTACAAGCAGGCTCCGTGGAAAGGTATAGTGTCCTTAATTAACCTTTGTTTACACAGACAAACAGTGAGCTGTGGTCAAGACTGGCCATAATACCTAATGATCTGTGAAGTGGTAAATAAACAGACTATACAGTTAAAACAACAACAAGCCCCATGCCATGCTACCAACATTTAAGGAGGCCAGTTTAATCAGCACAACCATTAAAGGTCTAAGATCCACTGGAGTAGGAGGAAGGATATTTCGTGTGTTTTGTAATTGTGAAATTATTTACAAATATATTCATCAAAATGAGGGAACTGGCAAGAAACTCACATGTTTCTGCTTTGCATGCAAGCCTCAAGGTTGGTATAAGCTGAAACGTTGCATGTATAAATGCTTTGGATATTGCATCTGTACATTCATCAGCTAGTTTTCATTGTACTTAGGATTGAATATTCAATTGATTATATATATTTTTTAAATCAAGATTCTAATTTTTAATATATGTTTTTGTTTCTTCACCAGTCTTCAAGGAGCCAACCTGCCATTGGTCTCAAACAGACTCCAAAGTCAAGGGTAAGTTTCTAATATTTTGTACTCCCCATTCCCTGATTTCATATGGTTTGGGTTTTTTAAATTCAGTGTTTAATAAATTTAGAAACTAGACACTTTTTCTAACACGTTTATGAAACACACATGTACCTGGATATCTTTAGGTGCAAATACCTAATCTCGCTGAAACACAAATGGAATTTTAACATGTATTGACAGGTCTATTTTTGGCTCATTCCTTGGTAAGAGTGCATTTCAAAAGATTCACAACAAAAAAGTCTGTAAAGAACCGCGTAGGCAAGCTTATGGTTAAATTGTAAGTAAATAAGTTTGAGCCCACCAACCTGGTGGTCCTGTTGTTTTTTGTCTCCTTGCTCCGAGCAGTTTTAGACGCTGCGTTACAAATGGCTTCATCTTAATCTATGTTAAACCGTTCACGATTATATTTCCTTAATCTCTGAAGTAAGGTTACTTGGTGGATATCTGTTTAGATGTAACCACCGTTTGAAAGCTTAATCCTAGTTTGACTATTCAGAGATTCTCAGATGATGAATAAAATACATCATTGCAGATACAAGTTCTACCTTGAAAAATGGCATATCAGTTTGTAAAAGCAATTAAATACTTCTGTTCAAACACGATATAATCTACAGACAGTGAGTCTAGTATGGACACAATAATTAAATATTCAGTAAACAAACATGACAGCCCAATGTGTAAATTTAATTTCATATCCATCAAGGCTTTTCCTTGACAGTGAAGCTTGTGTGTTACTTTCTCTTCTTAAGGGAACAGAAATGGAGTGAACATTTATGAAATATGGATTCTGACAATGTTTGTAATTTGTTTCATGTACATTTCAAAAGAAGGGCTCCTGCTTTTCGCCAACTTGTGATCTATTTTGACATCTGTATGTGAATCTTCCACAGCTGTAGTTTAAAATTATTAATCACATGTACAAGTAAACCTATTTTTTAACAAAGAATGTCAGTTTTAAAGAACATGTCAATTTTTGTCAGAATGTCAGTTTTACTGTGAGTCACACTCGACCCCCTCTTAGCCTTAATATGTGCTTTAATCTTACAATACGTCTTTAATGTAAAACATCGCCCAAGATGTCTCTGCATGGATAGGTGTTTGAAGTCGACCACATGCATATTATACTACAAACACACCAGTAAATATCCCTTTGTCTCAGAGTCTGTTCATATCTTGCACATTGAAACCAGATAACACGGTTTCAGAACTTCTGAAAGAAAAATATTCACCCAAAGCGATCAACTTGGTGGCCATTTGGCTATAGATGTTTCCTGGGTTGAAAATGTGTAAACAATGGGTGTTTGGTTATAATAAACATCTGTGTTGTTGTCGTAGGATCTTAGATCAAAGGCAACTGTAACCTTCATACACGAAGGAAAACATATCATCGACTCTATTGGGACAGAGAATGCCTTGTGCCTCCAGCAGGGTCATTTCAAGCATGCATTTTTATAGTGTAAATGCCTTCATTTTTCTATCTTACTTTTAAAATATGAAACAGAAAATAACCCACTTTGAAACACATTCCATTCCAAATTAGACACAAATGGATCCCTGAAGACCAGAGACACCAGGTGTTCATTAATGTATTTATTGCTTCATTCCTTCATCTACAACTTTCTTTTTTCTTTCTTTTTTTGCTTCATTTCTGTTTTCATAGCTTCTTTTTCATTCATTACTTGATTTTATTTACGTGATTTATAATTCAGTGTTTCTCATAATCCTTCTGTCCATTGTGGTTTCCAACTATTTTTACTTTTGTCTTCTCCTTTTGATTAATCATTTTATCTTTTATTAACTTTTACTCTGCTTTTACTCTGTCACTGGTAAACACCATATGCTTCTTAGATTGACCACAACTCAGCTATTTAAACAATGGTAACAACATCATTGACTTCAATCAATCTCTACAACATATTGATCAGAGACTTCTGGCTAATCAGCATACACTTGACCAAAACCCTGCAAGTACATCTCCCAGACCCCGATAATACATCCCCCTTCCCCAGTCACACATCCCCAGTGCCAGTTGACCCTACCAATCAGACATCACCCCAGGGACACTGGGTGGGCCAGGCATCCCCAGGACCCCACATGGGATGTACTTAAACAGTCAGGGTAGAGGGATGACCCCAGGCAGTGCTAATAGTAAACCTTAATTGTTGCTGTTGTTTTCGTTAGGGTATTTCTCTCCAGGTTTCATTCTGACATCTGTTTGAATTGTCTTGGTGTCTTGGCTTCAGGAAATGAAATTAGTGATGTTTACTTTTCTGGCAATTTGTTTAGTTAATGTTGATTCTTCCACTAAATACTGACTTAATTTGACTCTGTATATGAATACAATCTACTACAGTGAAACCCTGTTTATCCAGAACAACCATTATCAGGGAATTCATTGTAGTTGTGTCATGTACAAATGTAATTTGTATGTGTATGTTTTGGGCAATACAGTCTCTACGGCAGAGTTTCCAGATTATAACGGTCTACATTTAGAAGAATCTCAGCCATGACTTACTACTGGAGATTTGATAAAAATCCAGCATTTAAAATCTTCCATGTATAATGTTCCTAACATATATGTTGCATATCTGTCAAAGAAAAAATGGCATTTTCTTACAAGCTTCATCACATTCTTTACATCACAAGACCCTTCTCTTTCTCCCTCCCATATTCATCTGTTCCCAACCCTCACAACAGGGCTGCCCACTTGCATCATAAAGAAGATAGCGCCAATGACCAAACTGCATCGGTCACTAACTGTGGCCCCACTTCCAGGAATTTTGGCATCATGCTCAACCTTTGATCTTCCTAGCTTGTCACTATGAAGCTGGTATCAGAGGAATTCTCTCCATCATGTCTCATCATGCTTATCTTACTTAATACTCTCATCCCACCGCTCTCCTCTCTTCACATCCATTTGCAACTCAATATTGGTCTGATTCCCCTTTATCAACCCTACAGAGAGTTCGGTTTTACTTGGACATTCCATTAAATTCTTCAACACTCACATCAAAATGATGACATTAAATCCCCACTTTGGTATGATTTTACCTATTCCCAGCTGCCATCACACTTTCAGGAATTCATTTGGGTTTAAAAAAAATACAGGCTTATACACAACACACAGGTTGATTAAATTTAAACCAGATTTTAGAATAATGAATTTAACATGCAAACCTGTAATTTGAAATGCCTCAGATTCTTAAATTCCTTTGAAATAGCCTACAATCTGTAATATATTTATAGTGGTAATCCTTGAGAGTTTTTCTGGCTTTGATGTACCCGTAAAGTTAATTGTCTTGCATCATACATAACCCCCTCAATTCCGTTTACACCCCTCAGTCTTATGGGACCTACTTGACACTTATCTGTGAACCCCTGTCTTTGATGTCTATATCCCTATTATGACACCTCAGCCTTGGCCTTGTTAATAGCACTTGTACAGTGTCTGTACATCAGTCTTACACTGCCCTCTATATCCTCAACATGGTATGTATTTCATGTTTATTTCACAGCTGTCGAAATGTACACAAACTCCAAGCTGTTCATTTTCAATCACCTGTGTATTTCTCTTTTTGTCAAGATTTAAATGTTATTTCACTCTCCCTGAGATTTTTAATACTTAAAGTGAAAAACTAAGATTCCAGAGACTTGTAGGAATATTGGGGCTTATTTCAGGGCGTATGTTTCAGAGTGGTGTCTTCAGAAAATATGAGCACTCCCTTATACAAATAAATTATTTTCTTTTCATTACCATTTCTTGTATAAATCAGACAAATTTACTTACATGAACACACTGTAAATGTGTTCCGCCCAACATGCTGAGATGTTTATGAGCATATTTTTCTTGTTTACAACTGACCTTACCCTCATGAGCTAGAAATTTAATTAGTGTTTCCATGGTGATGAATCAAATTAATCACTCAATTTGGGCAAATTCACAAAAATCCATATTTGCTGCTTCCTTTATCAAAAGGATATCATCAAATAATTCCGTCTTGGTCATTAGCCCATAAAATTTTGTAATTGCTGTTTCTCGATCGTTTTTAAGTAGCTTAATGTCAGAGAAAAGAGTGGCCCAAATTTCGGTAAAGTCAGGAATGATGGAATTGGTTTGTGCCATTCCTATAGAGACTCTGAGTGAATGAGTTTGGATCCTAACAGAAGAAATTATCGATTGATGATGAAAATGTGACTCATTCAAGATGACCGTGTTAGCATGGGGTGAATCATTTGGCTGAAACCGTATTGCAATAAAATGTGAGCCGGACACTTGTTTGTTTACATCGACTCTTGCCTTATTTAAGATGGTGCTAGATTCCTACTGACCATTTTAGTACCAGGAATGGTTTCCGTGGTGTCGTTTTCAAGTCAGGATTTTATGGACAAGAAAGAATTCACATGTCTGAAGATGAACGAGTGTTTTTCATGGACTAAGTGCCTATCTGTGTTCTCATGTTTTCCTTTCAACAAAAAGGTATTAACGTTTTCTGCTTTGATTCCATATTGCATGCAATCTTTATGCTTTGATTATTATTCAATATCGACATCTTTCATATCAGAATATTATGCCATTCCTATCGATCAGTTCTGTTGTTCGTCATTTCATACAAATCAATCATTTTCATATTCTGTTGCATTAGTACCATGCAATACCTGTTCTGTTTTCTCAACAAGTTGTATTCAAAAATTGAACCAAGTGTTAAAGGCATTTTTTTAAAACCATGAGTCAGACCAGTACTTGGCACCAATAATCCAATTGTTCAGACCCTCTGTAATCTTGTGATTAAAGATTTATAACAATTTAGTTCATGACTCATACCTCAGTGGCTTGAAGAAATTCCATTTTATGCCTGAAATATGCATGGTTGAATTCTGAACAGTAGAACTGACATAAAATGTTTGAATAAAATGTCATTTTACAACCACAGAGATCAGTTGTTTTCTAAAGTAGAATCTTGAATTAATTAAATTTCAACTTAAATATCAACAGTGACTTGTGTGGCTGCTATCTAGTGATCGGATGTTTATACTACTTGTCTAAGCACTGTTTACAATATGACCCACAGGGTAAACTGACACTACTTGAAACATAAAGTACCATTACCCAAACCACTATCGAGTCACAGATTTCAGTGTAAATTCAACATAAATACATACTTTTTTCATAAAACTAATTAAATTTCAATATAGATCTCTGGTGCCAATGATGCTGCATTACATCTGACCATATTACATATTTCCATATATTTGATCACACTAGTAATCTCTTCTGATCACTGTCTAATGTAATAAATGATGAAAAAAATTGAAAGTTTAAATTTTAAAAGAATAGTAAAATTTCAAATGTATAAAATCAAAATCGTCTGACTACAGTATTGGGGTTGTTTATTTGATATGTTCAAGAGAACTCTGGTTAATTAGTCTGGGGACCAGGGGTCAGAGAGCTTGTCAATATACACAGCCAGACATTGTTATGACTGCCTTGACAGCTGATGACACTCGTCAATAGACATATCAGTAGGGGTGCCAGATCCCACACAGTGGCTTGGCTGACAACCTCGGTGAAGGTGGCCTGGTAATTAACTGACTAATCTGTTCTAATCTTAGGCTGACATTAGAAGAAATCATTTCCATCTTAAGATGTATTTACTTTACCAGCATCTTGTCTTCATATTGATATTAATCTTGACTTTTAAGAAAAGCATCAAATATAAAAAATAACAGTGATGTATCAACATATTCACAAATATAATGCAATAATATTTTCGTAATATCAATATTTTTTGTCTACATATATGAAAAGAAGCAAATATTGAATAACAGCGATATTTCCTCATGCATTCACAAATATAATGCAATTAAATAATATTGTGGTATTTTCACCCTGGAACTTGGTGTTATTTTTCAAAACTAGTCAAGTTGCAATTACTGCCCCTCTTAAAATTCAGTCAGAAATCTCAGAATATTGTGACACAATTATGTATCACCCCCAGCCAGCCACCCACACATTAACTGTAAATTACACTGCCCTGCCCCTACACACTGTAAGCAAACTGCCAGAAAGTCATTGGGACCAGGTCGTCACTGCAGGTAGGACAATGGGGCTTTGATATGTTGGCAGCCATGGCCTCCCCTTCCCCTCCCACTTATAGGGGTGGGCATTTGACACCCACCCTGTACATTCCTCCACCCGGTTCCCATCCATAAATGTGAGTACCTGTAACAATGTAGGTGACTCAGCTGGGAGTTATACAGTGTTAATGTAAATCACTGGATACCGGATTTAAAAGGTGCATGGAGATTGAGTTGATAGCAGGATATCATTTCAGTGTTTATGTCAGGTTAGATGATGTGATATTTATCTTTTGTTGTTACATTTTTCCTATTTTTGTACGTTTTCACTCTCACTCTGGTTACTTTTGCAGGTGTAGTGTAATATTAGTCCTGCTCCAAGGCTGTACTGAGTGCTAAGCCCGTGCATGTACAGTAATTCTATCCTTTAAAAAGGCAAATCTAGATAAGTGGACGTTACAAGGACCTGTTACAAGTCTGTTATTACCTGAGAGACTTGTGCAAGTTTACTGTAGTATAGGCATCAGTATCTAGGGCCATATTGTTTTCATGTTTTGTTTCATTTATTGAATATCAAAACATGATAATTATCATTAATACTCGTCATCCATAAAATTTTGTCAACCCCTCTCCAATTTAGTGTACTGTCTAACACATCTTGATATCACCCCTAAACCTAGTTCTTTCCGCTTCCGGGTCACTAATCCTCTGTTATATTGATCAAAGCACACCCGACCTTCATGCCAAATCCCCATCAATACTGGTCCCTCCCACCATCCAAGCATACCCCATCCAAATCCCACACAACAATAACCCTTATCCCCTTTAACCCACATCCAACCCCCATACTCTTACAAAGCACCTTCCCCAGCCAAAGCCTCCAAATCCCATCCCCCAGTTGTGTGGCACTACCCCCCTCCCTCCTTCACTCCTACCCCCTCCTCCAAGCTCTAGGCCTCATTGATATCTGAGGCAGGAATAGACTGGTACAGCAGTGGGAGTACTCCAGGTCCCTGGCTTAAACATGATGCACTTTCCTTCATCACTGGATGCTGGAGATGTCTCTCATACCTAGCACTGTCTGCTTCTACCGACACTCCTCTACAAAGGTTCCATTCACACTTCACAACTTGAACCCCCTTCTAAAATTCAAACTTGCTTCCTGACCATATACCAAAGGATGGATCGGAATACCAGTGATAACTTAACCGAGGTCAGACCTGAGCAGCGAGACATAAACGCAAGGACTTAGAATTAGAGACAGGAGTGGGCTTATAGTTGACTTCTAACATTGACCAGTGGGATCTGATTCAACAGGAAACGGTGTTTTTTGTGTACTTTCAGCCGACCATCTTTGGTACGATTGCACAAGACAAGGCTCCAACCGAGGATCGACGGAGGGTAAGTCAATGTTATAGTTTTTCTCACCCCTTGGTTGAAGGAATAAAACTGAGAAACACGGTCAGTGTCCAGTTCAGTTTTTGTCACCATCACTCGCACCGGTGTTGATAACACTCTGACTGTGACAGGCGGGTGACAGCTATTGACAACTCTCAGTAGGCACAGACAGGTTCTTGACAGCCTGGACATTGGTTATATATTCCAAGGCTGCTGTTCACAGTTTCAGTATTCTTAGGATTTGGTGTTTCCATTCTTGGGAGGTGTTGCTATTCGTGGAATTTTTCAGGTAAAGAATGTGTAGCATTTGTGATCAGGTTCATTTCAAATCTCACTTTTGAAATTTGTTTGCAAACTTGATATCACTGGTTGTTTATGTGTCAACGAAGGCTATTTTCTGTGAGTGAAATTTGAATTTCATACAAGTTGATTTGGAGTCTTTTTCTGGCCATGATTGTGTTATCTCAAATTTCTTTGACGTTGAAATCTGTTTCAAAGCACCATACCAGAGCTACTGTTAAAATGACATAAACATTCAGATCTGTCATCCCCATAGTGTTTTTTTTTCAAATTCATTTACCTGCTGTGGAACTTTTCAAGCTGGTGATGAAACACAATCTACCAGAAAGAAAGGGGAATTGGTTTTACATGCCACAAAGCCATCAGTTTCACTCTTCCATTTGTCTGATGCTGATGCTGATATATCTAATGAAAACATCTGCTTGGTCATCAGACCTAAAGATCTTTGAAGATACCCATCCTATAGCATGAATGTCTGGAATTCTCTTCATTTCTGAGTGGACAGTTGATGGTTCAAGTTATTAGATAGCTACTCTCAAATGTCAAGTCAATTATAAAGAGAGTATATTTATCTAATTTGACACCAGTGGGTTAAATTTCAAAATTTTGTTTATGATTATGTTAAAGACATGTGCTGGAATTGGAATGCAATGGTAGAGAAGCCTAGAAATTGTAAATGTATACATTATATAAATTTATAAAATCCAATTTACTTTGAATTACAAAATATCAAATAAATGCATGAAATTTGAATACAATGGGAGAGAAGCCTAGAGATTGTACATTATACATTTAACAAATTTTAAAAATTACAAAATAGCAAACCTAATGCACGTACACTCAACCGGGGAAATTATTCAAATTTCATTTTTTGTATGATAGTTTGAATAAGTCATCGAGTACCCAGTTGCAGCTCCTGGGTTCTAAATATGGTATGTCCATCTGATGGATCAACCAGTGCATGGCTGCTGTAACAAAAGGAGTCTAACACATTTAATGATGCATGTAGCAGTACAGATGGGCACATTTCACATCTGTTGAGGAAGTCGCTAACGGAACACTGGAAAAGTGTGTCACGTAATTGCTCTGTGGAAGGCTCTTAAACCTCCAGAGTTAAAAAAATAGTTTTTCAAGATTCAAATCTTCCTGATGGGTAGATGAAATGGGTCTTAAAGAATAGAATGCCATCTTTGAAATGTCAGATATTCTGTTTTATCAGTTATATATCGTGAGTTGACATGTTTTGTAAGAAGCCAGCATTACCTTGAAATTCAGTTTTGCCAGAAATATTGATATAATAACGTGTCAATCTTCAGGCAACTGTGTCAATTGTAATGCTATGGGATGAGCGAAAGGAGGAGATTAAAAATATTTTGTTTTTTTGATAAACTAACATGCAGTTTTTTTATAAGTTGTTTAACACAGAAATATTTGAGAATGTCACTGTCAGTAAATGGTAGTCTGGTTCAGACAATCCAGTGATTGATAACAAGAGCATTGATCTATTGGGATATGCATTATCCAAGCAAGGGACTCTCACAGCCAAGTCCCTTTAACATATCTCACTGACTGACTGAGTATGGTTTTACGCCGCTTTTAGCAATATTCCAGCAACATCACGGCGGGGGACACCAGAAATGGGCTTCACACATTGTACCCATGTGGGGAATCGAACCCGGGTTTTCGTGATGACGACCAACGCTCTAACCACTAGGCTACCCCACCTCCTTTAACATATCGCGACAACAAGCATGGGTTCAAGATGTCTGAAGGAGGGGTGGATGAATGTTGACCGTATCAATAAGATTGTGGGTTGGATTCAGAACCACTTCTAAATGCCTCCATTGTTGGCATATATCAGAAACATCTTCTTCAACTGGGGTTATGTTTTTAGTGCCACAAAACGCAAGCCTTGCAGCAAGTGCTACATGAGATTTCAGATTTCTTTCAAATATTTACTTTTGTTGATAACCCTATGTCTGGTTCTGTGGTAAAGTATATAGCTAAGAAAACATATAAATAGGCTCAATCTTTGTAAATAAACATAATGGTTGCTAATCTTTCCACAAATTGACACACAGAGGAGCCAAGGTCCTTTCAATGGCGCCATGATTCTCCTTAGGACTGTAGAATTTGAAGAAATTCACATGGCATAATCATTGCAAGAATTGTGTGCTTGTAGATATCACATCTATCATGATTTCGCAGGCGGTTGTTGAAATTCTGAATAATTAATTTAATTACCAACCAGATGTTTCTGAGTGATCATACATGGAAAGTTCAAAAGTGGTTGGGGGCGGTGGGGTAGCCTAGTGGTTAAAGCGTTGGCTCGTCACGCCGAAGACCCGGGTTCGATTCCCCACATGGGCACAATGTGTTAAGCCCATTTCTGGTGTCCCCCGCCGTGATATTGCTGGAATATTGCTAAAAGCGGCGTAAAACTCAAACTCAGTCAGTCAAAAGTGGTTGTTTTCTGCAGTAAAGATTCACTCTCCGATCATGAGAAGAGTCATTAAATTTAATACAAATGTGACATTTTTTTGTATTAGAACTTAAAAAATATAACTAATTGACAAAAAGGTTTAACAAGCATAGTCAAAACAATTGAAGAATTTAAGTTTGCAGAATTTCTATTTGAAACCCTATTTTCAAAGTTAATAGATTTTAACAGGATATCCATGTAACACTCAGCTGTCAGTAGAAGGGGTAATTATACGAATCTCTCCAAGTCAGTATAAGGGTCTACTGTTCTCAAGACAGTAATCTTGGCTGCAATTACCGTGTCGTCAATGCTGAGTAGCTTCATTTACAACACAAGCCTTCCTTTGTTTTGTCCGACAGATTACATTTGTAGCGTTGTTGTCAAATGGATGTGGAAGAGTGAAGGACATACAAGATGTAATTATCAACTGGCTCTTGCTCTGCTTTTCGCATTAGTTAAAAAAATATTTGAAGCTCAGAGGAGTGTTTTTCACCATTTCATCCAAATTTGATTGCTGTTTATTCTCGTGAATTTTTGAACCTATCCAGACCTCCCACAATTTGGTTGCTGATGATGTGAAGAAACACACAAACAAATTCTTTCATCATGTCTTTTCAAAGATGTCCTTATGCTTCTAATGATTCCAGTCAAAATTCATAATTTGCTGATGAAAGTTGTAAAGGAGATTTAGAATCATCCAACTGCTTGAGTTTTTAGTCAATTACAAGACTTCAGCCTTAACTGCAGCAGCACGATTTGAACCCTCGTCTCTAAATTGGATTAGTGGAAAATGGTGTCTTGGATCCAGATATCCCACCTGGGTCCTCTAGTGCTGTTGAGAAATGTAACAGGCTAGGCCCTCAAAGAGGGGATACAGGCTTGGCATTAAGATCTAATCTGCAGTGCCATTGTATGTTAAATATCTGACTGTAGTGTTCGTAGGATCTAGCTCTGTAACACGATGAAATCTCAAAGATGAAAAGAGGAGATCTAGTAATGTCTCATCCACTCAAACTGATTACATTTGTTAGTGAGGTTTAATCAATGATGGTTACAAAACATAAACTTACATATTTGTATTTTATAGAGTTTTTGTAAAGTTTCAGCTGAAACTAAAAAGTATGAATGTAACTTTGCCAAATCAAGTATTGAAATTCTGTTTTCGTTTTATTCTTTACCTGGGAGAAAGACTGCCTCCATTTTACTCTACCAGTTCTTTTCATCTGGGTGTATCTTTAAGTTTAGTAAATGTATGTAAATAAAGCTTTAAATATACCAGTATATTACTACATAAATCTCATACCTCATGTTTATTCCACAGACAAACTGGTGATATAAATAATGTATGTTTCGAACGTATGAGAAACAATTGTCTGTATTTCTATCGTATGACATTCCATGCACATATGTTACAAGCAAAACACTTCTTGTCAATAACTCGACTGGCTGGTTAATATACAGTGTTATTGTCAGTGCAGACTGCATGTGATTCACACTGGTGAATATATATTGTTGATGCACATACCAAATATCAGCAATAATGTTGCCAGATAGATAATTATGTTTCAGTAAATGTCAGTTATGGTATAAATATAATGATCATAATTATCACGTTGCATGTCATGTTGACAGGAGATGCTAACAGCAGATATAAATGTGTATTTCAAAGCTTCCTGATATGTATATATTTCAGATGTACTTTTCATGTTGAAACTTCCATATCAAGGTCTGATCAGTTTGAAATGGTATATATAGACCATATACAAGATATAGCTTGACATTATACCTGTGTAATTCTTCATATATCAAGCTCAGATGAGTTTTGAATCACGTGCATTTCAGCATCAGACGAGGCTCTCTACGTGCTATAGGATACATATAATGATTATTACCACCTGACACGAAGTCAATATCCTGGATCCTGGTTTGAACGTTAAACCGAAAAATCGCAAGTCATAAGTTGATGAAATGAAAACATATTGTAAAGAGTCATCTCTTCGGGATTATACCAATTTGTACCAGAGATTTATGACTTTTGATGCCATTCCTCCGAAATACATAAATAGCGCGCTTTCTGAGAGCCGCAAGGGTTTGTTGAAGATAGGAATAACCTCCCAGTTGGTGTTTCAGCACCCTCCTGAATTGATAGGACCAACTGAAGGTGTTTGTGCAGCCCTACTCCAATTATCCAGCGAATCCCTTTGCTATTGATTTCTGATAA